ACTGAGTGGATGACAGAAGCCAGTGTCTTATAGAAATACAGCTGCAATCTGGGGCTGTGCAGTGGAATAATCTTCCCCCTAGCCCACAGAAAACCAGGAAAGGAAGCAAGGGATGGTGCAGAATTGGGTGAAACGAATCGAACTGGCTCTGCCCGTCCTCTGGCAGCGCCCGCGATGAGTTAACGCAGACGCAGAGATAGGTGGCACTGTGCTCTCGGGGATGGCAGAGCAGAGCTTACATCCGCCTTACAGCGCCTAAAGCTGCTTTCGAGGACACAGCCACCCTTCTTGGGCAGCTAGCCCTTCGGTGTCACAGCTTTAATAACAAATTCAGATGATCTATTTTGTTTGGAGAAAATACTTCTTGCTTCTGGTTTACGTGTTTGCTGTGTAATGCTATTAGTTTACAAACACTGCCATGTTTCACCTCAGAGTGCTCCATTTCACGTGAAAATTATTAATTTGTATGGGGTGGGGAGCTGGTAAAGAGAGTTCCTCTTCAGGGTTGTTAATAACCACAGGAACTTATTTAGAATTGAACAAATGGAGAGAGGTTGGAGGCAACTGACTAACTATCATGGTCTAGGAGCTAAAGTCAGCCAACATCAAACTGGAAATTGCAAAGGTTGGGATTGCTTGAAACAGGAAGTGTAATTTACTCTTGGACTGCATTATACGTTGCTGTGGCAAATTATCCATGTTTGATCTATGTAACCGTTCTCAAAGATGTGCTTTAATTCACTGCAACTTGCTGTTTTGCATGAGGAAAATTCCACAATCTTTCCTGTGTAGGAGGCTGTATTAGATTATGAAAATAGTTTATTCTGGCCTTAAAAGCAAATAATCCATTTTCAGATAATTTTTATCTTAGTTTTTGAGCAAGTTGCATACCACTCCTGGGGTGTGACAGTGAAGCTAATCATATGTTTTACTCCATTTCCAGAGGTCAGATTTGACTCTTTCCTACAGACTGGTACTTCCTACTGTCTCCATTTGACCCAACTGTAGTGAGGGCCAGGTTCTGGGGCTTTGGATTCAGAAATGTTCAAACATGATTCTAAAGTTACCATTATTTTTTCTGTCATTTTTTGTAGACAGGGTTGTGCCCAAGTCCAATGGGCCATCTGATGATCTTGATGTGGCTGTATATCTAACTGCCCCATATTTGATCTGCACCTCACTTCATTTGAAGACAGCTTATGGGATGCCAACATTTTTCTTTGTACGATGGAAAAATAAATATAAAATAACTGAAATGGACATGCCTTTTAATAAGCTTATTTCATTAAGATTACAACTTTAAAAAAGCAAAAAATGTTTATTGAAGACAATATATAGATCAATAAGACAGCATATGAAGAATTGAAATGAAAAACACCCTGGTTTTATTTCACTGATAACACATGCAAAACTACTACAGAAAATACTGTAATGTTCCCAGTGTTCCTGGAGGTTTGTGACTGTGGTAGGGATCTCTTGGCAAGATTATAAAATAGACAACTAAACTGAATCTATGAACTAAATGCAGAAATATGTTTCTTTCTTTGGTTATAAAAAAGCAGGTGCTGAGATGAAAACATAGCAGACCTAATATTTAAAAGGCAGTGTTGGCTTGTGTAAGTATCTGGACTATACTGTACTATATCAATAGTATCTGGAAAATTTAAAGAATCAATACCTCCCTAAATACAGATTTGAGGAGGTGCAGCCAAGATCTTATTAATCAAAACATGATTCAACACCCTCCCTTCCAACAAACCTCAAGGAAGCACAAGTTATACTGTAAAGCCAAAAGAAAGCTAAAAGCACTAGCATAGTCTAAAATAATAGATTTATGGAAATGAGCAATAAGTATGAAAGCAGGTTATCACAAAACTGTGGTGCATTTCCTTTCAAGCAAATGAAAAAAAAATTGTTAGAAACTAAAATATTGATTACTTACTTCAATGCATTTTATGGAGCAGCTTAATGAAGAACTCACAGTGGTTGCTCACACAGAATTATACACATACTAGAGCTCCTCAGGACATACAGTTAAGAAACTCTTAAGTCTATTCACATAGATTTGTTTCTAGTATATTGGTCCAGTTAAGGCTGATGTAAAATATTTGAAAAGGACAAAGGTAGTAGGCTGTATCTCTGAATGCCTCTATGACTAAGAGAATGAGATATTCTTGTACACCAAAGTGATGGATGGCTGAGATAAAAATTACATAGTAATACTATTGTATGTGTTCCAGAAAAAAATCTCTCTCAGAGGCATACATTTCAAGAGAAACCAGTAAGATCAGAAGAAGACATCTGTTTTGATCTTCTCTATAAGAACCATAGATTTTCTGCCAGTAATTTCTGCCTCAATTCTGGAATTTCTCTAGAACAGCTCATAAATTTTTTTCTTTCATTTTCTAGCAATGTAAGTACAAAGAAATATGATGGTGTGAAGAGTGACAGTCCCTCTTCTGTATTTGTGATTAACATTATATTTGAAAATGGCAACAGGTCTTGCTGCTGCTCTTCTCTCTCATGCCACATTTTGTTCCTTTTCTGCATTGCTCTGGCCCTTGGTGGCCAGACATTTGATAGTAAGATATTTGGCTTCCATGACAAATTTTCTTAGAATTATTTACTTTGGACTCCACTATCTTGGTTGGTTGACTAAGAGATAACGTAATTATCAGAAATTATAAGGAAGTTGCTTTTTAGACTTAGTTGGAAGATGTCACTAAGATGATTCTCTTTATTGACATTAGGACCTAACTTAGGATGCCAAATGAAAAAGTCTCTTTCATTGTTTTCTTTTTCCTTTTATTCCCCATCCTTCACAACCTGTCTATTAATATTTATTTTTTTTCCATCAGTCAGTAGGGAAAAAACTTAGATGAGAATCATTTTCATACTGTACAAAGTTAAAAACTTTACACTTCCAGTATTGCTGATTAATTACACCCTTTCCCGTACTAGAAGTCTTTATATTTTCTCTGACTCACTTGCCAAAACCTATGTATTCTATTTTGCCTAATTTTTTTTTTCTGAAATTCCCCTGGTGTTAGAGGATTAAATCTGTGGTGCACAGCTGGGGAGTGAGTTTGAAAGTGTACAAGAATAAGCAGACTCGCACCAGCAGGTCACTATTGAAACCCACCCACAAAGGCTGGCAGCAGAGAATGCCTCCTAAGAAGTTGTATTGTTTTCCACTCAGTGAATGTGCCAGTAACTAATGAGAGAGAAATGCGGGGAATAGTTTTTATTCTGAGATCTATAAGCCAACTTAATTGTTTTGTTTGCCTGATTTATTATACTTGAATGAATACAGTACTGTTAATTGTGCACTTTGAGCAAGAAGTTAAAGCCAGAATAGTCAAAACGTTACTCATCTGGTTGGAGCACCTAAATTTTATATGAGAGAACTAAGCTAGAGATTCTTTTTGGAATGTGGGTATCTGTATCTCACTTCAAAGTGGAAGCATATACCAGCAAAATTTGTGCCAATATATTATGCATCACTAAAATAATTTTCCAAATAACTGTTTCTGAAAAACATAAGTTTTCCTATTTTTTATACATTTTAACAATTCTGTCCAAGTCAAATATTGTAATGCAAATGGAAATTAGTGATTATTACTAGGTCTCCAAAACAAAATAAATTTGACATGAATGAGGTGATTGCGGCTTTCATAAATGTGTCATCGATGTCTAAATATCAGTTGCTTGACATAATATTTACTTCATTTACTCTTTATGAGCAACTTGGGAATGAAAGTATTTTTTTTCATTGTTCCTTGCTTGTTTAGATAATGACACAGATCAAGCAGAAGTCATTCCAGAGACAGGGTTAGAGCACCAGGCTGCAGCTAATCCCACAGCTGCTTCCCATAAGGGCTTGTACTCACCCTCTGGTATTTCATATCGTTGTGGCCAATTATGTTCCTGCATGTTGAAATTGCCACAGCTTCCACTCCCCATCTTACTCTTTGCACAGAGACCCAGCTTCTCTAAAGGGTACTGTTATGACCTGCTTGAATCTTTTTTTACTCTGCAAGATTGGTGTGTCCTCATGTATAAATATCAACAAGCAAATTTTTTAGCATCATTTTACTTTTTTCCTTTCCTGTCTTTCTTCCCTGCCTCTTCATCTAACCCTAGATCAGTACAACAAATCATCACTAGAGAAAAGCTTTCCAAAGAAGGCTCTTTCTGCATTTAACTCTGAAGTGCTGCTCAGATGAACAGAATTGTTGGGGTAGGGAATTTTCCTTGCCAGGACATTTACAGAGGCTGTTCTGCCATGAGATGCTAGAACCTCATTCCAGAGTCTGAGACCTGCAACATCTTTGAGTTTTGATATCATGACGGTTTGTGGGCTGAAAGCTGTCCAGCGTTACTGCTGATCTGTTGATTAAGACACTTATAGTTTAGGATTAGGAACAGTAATTAGATCCAGAAGCAAGTGTGGATACATCAGAATGCATACAGCCCTGGAGTAAAGTGTTCCTAATATTCCTATCAAACAAATTCTGATTTGTGTGGCTTTCCTTTTCTTCCATGAAAGACAGTGTAGGAATAACTGCGGGAAGCTCTTGGTCTGGGAGAAAAAGGTTGTCTTTGGAATAAATATCGCAGTGAAAACTTTCCACCCTAAGCCTTTCATTAATTTCTTCATGTCATCTTGGTATATTTAAACGCTGTAAGAAATTATGCTGCAAAAAGTTCTTCCCACGTGTAATTTTTCCTCAAGTGAAGTGCATACCTTTCAAATTATAAACTTCCTACTTGTCCTAGGAAAATTCTCACTGTATAAATAATTGAACTCATCTGCAGCGAACACTAGTATTCTTTCTCTAGCAGTCTAAAATATATGCCTAAATACACATCTTGTACTTAGTGCTTTAAATAGTAATTACTCCTGTGAAGTCACTGGAAGCCCTTAAAAGGGTTTGACAGTTTCCCCACAATCTTTCAGTGAATGTAGTAGCTGGGCTGTGCAGTGCAACATCCACTGATAATTCAGCAGCTGAGGAACTCAGGAAAGCCTGCTCCAAACTTCTCAGCTGTTGACAGGCTTGACTTGCTGAGAACACTGGTTAAATATAGCACAAGCGAGCTGAGCTCAACAAAGTCATTGCTGTAACACTGTGTGAAGAGACCAGAAGAGGGGAAATACAATCTGAGAACTAAACTGCCAAAGCCTAACACCACCTAGCAACAGCTGAAAAAACTTTTAAACAAAAGTCTGGGTGAGACACAGACAGAATATACCTCCTGCTTCTCCTGCCTGGGATTTCTGCGAGAAGCAGCTCTGGTCTTCTGTTCTCTACCTTGTTTCCTTCATTACTTCAACTGCTGGTAGACCTAGAAAAGTGGGAAAAGTTTCTATCTTTGTGCTCTCCTGAGCTGGATCATTCTCCTCCTGTGGTAGTGCTGTGGGACGGGCTACTGCGATCTTGCAGTGTAAAGGATATATTCCTAGGTCCGTGTTGCTGACAGGTAAGACTGAGTTAAACCACTCTGTTGTTTTGTTGTTGTTTTTTTTTACAAGAACTTTTATTTTCAAGTGTCTTTTCTACAAAAAAAAAAATATTTTCTAATGTCTATTGTCTCTTTCCTTTTTGACCAATCTTCTAAATGATTTGGAAATGTCAATAGATGAAAGCTGACATGAAAATTTTAGTGGGTTTTTTTATGTTTTCATGGTAGAAAGCATTGCTGAAATAACTTTTGCAGTTCTGACAACAAGCATAATGAAGTAGCTAGTAGTAATATGAAAAAAATTTTTACATGTTTCATGTTTATATCTGCTTACATGAAGACAGAAGACAAATCAACATTTAATTATAGAATACATATCATCTCTGACCAGTGATAGTCTAGCAGCTATTAAAAACAGTGACAACCTGTGTGATAAATAAAAGGAAACAGACATTCAGTAACAGAAGTAACCAAATAGTTCGTTGCCCAGCAAATTTGTACTTTTGTTTCCTTGGTAACTTTTAGGACACACCTGGTGCCTTTCATACTAACTTTGTGACATCTGCTCTTGGTTCTTTCCCTTGTGCTTAATTACATAGAATGAATATTGATCTCTCCTGCTTTGATTAGCAGCATAATGCAACCATCCTCAGGACTGACCTTATGTTTATTGTACCTAGGGGTGCTTGAGCTGGGTTATTGTTGCTAGAAGTCTATGTTTCTCTCAGCAAAATGAGAAACCTGTTCTCAGATGTTTTACCCTGAAAGCAGGATGGAAACCTGTTTGTTGTTGGAAATGCATACACTATGGCCCCACAGTGGTCGTGTAATTTAGGGGAGGAATTGCTTAGTGTGATTTAATTTGTCTTAACTGACAAAAGCTGTTTGATCAATTGGAGTATGAATTCCACTCCTCCCTGCCACCTCTTTTAAGGCTGTTTTCTGCAAACGAAATCTAGTATGCATGAATTTTTAAGAGGCATACTGATTATAAGTTCATATACAACGTTAATTCAGTTATGAAGGCAGAGATTTAAAGCATGCCCTTACCCTGTTCTAAAACCCTGTTCACTGATTTATGTAGAATTGTCTCAGACGAAAAGTATTTGTCCTAAAGAAGGAATGAACTAACTGAGTCTGTGCTGACTGTGGTGTTTGACACTTAGTCTGTGGACTCTGGGATTGCCTCAGGGAGATGAGAATGTCTTGGTTTAGCTAAATAATTCTAGTTTCATCACTGCATATTACATAAATTGCATCAATACCACATCTTAGCAGTGGATGCATTGGATGGAATTAAAATACTCTGAAGCAACTTGTACTTGGAGACTGAGAATGTAATTGCCTGTGAAATGATAAAGTAAGTATTAGGATGGAAGGAAATTCTTTAGAGCAAAGAGTAACACAGTGTCCATTTTATTTCATAGCAAGGGGCACACTAAAGCACTAAACAGAAACACTTCTTGGCAACTATAATTTAATGTGATAATCATTGTTGTGGAATTACTCAAGCACTATGGAATCCCAAATCTAAGTCTCAAAAGGAAACTTTGGAATTACTTTTTAATAAGGACATATCCTGAGAAAGTTGTTTTTTCATAAGAAGACTACACAGTGAGAAATAAATCTGAGACAATATGATTTGTACAGTCTTTGTCATCTCGACATTAGAGTGAAAATTATTATTTCTTTCCTTTAATGAAATATCTGGCAAATTAAACTGTGGAGAAATGACAAATTTAACCTTCTGAAAATATAGGGATGGTAAAATCTGGCAAAATGCTGTGGTAATATTGCCTCCTTTTTTGATTTAGTTGCTGCTCAATGTAATACGGGGTTATACAACTTCTCTTTTTCTGCACAATTTACTTTTAGCAAAGATTTTTTTAAATCAAAAGGCAAAGGATTAGCCTAATAACTGTCTAATGAAGTGACATTTGAACACTCTAATAGCAACTTCAAACTCTAACACATGGAGTTGTGATTTTACATACATCTGTCTTCCTTTCCACTTCAAAATGGAGGAGGAGGCTAAAATTACTCTTTTCAACAGGTGTCCACAAAGAGGCTCTGGGATTTTCCAATCAAATTTGTGGAATATATAATGTGGCTATTCAACAGATGGTTTCATATTTGAAAGATAGCCAGTTCTTCTAATGACTACAGTGAAACTAAGGTCAATTTTATATCAAATCAAAAAGTAATTTATGTTTAAATGATAGACTCCATTGTGATTTACATGAAAGACAAGTAGACATAGCATAACCATTTATTTTCCCCCTTATGCATCATTTTGATTTTGTTTATATTTACATAACTGGAATGAATGGTGCCTTTCATGGTGATAAAGACTCCTTCCAATCTGAATCCACTTCCAGACTCTGCCACTTTTTTTATTTTATTATACTATTTTTATTGTTATGGTTATTATGAATTATTATATTAATTTTGTTGTAATTTTAGCTGATCTAGTCCCAGCTAAAGTCACCATCTTAACTGTTTTCATCACCTCAGTCTTTCAGTCTTTCTATAGATGATCTGATTGTTTTTAACACCAAATTCAAAGACTTGAAATTCACCTTCAAAGCTCAGCACTGTTCTGCCCCTGCTTACATATGCCTTGATTTTCCTGAATTCTTCCTGCTTATATCTGGTAGACCACTGACATTTGGCTCTGGTGTTTACTGATAGATCCTTTATGCTGCTGGTTTTAGTGAGCTTGATGTTGACCCCACGATATCTGAGTTTCCTGTAGTGCTGCTCACTGTCACACCTGACACAAATGGAAAGACTAAACATTGATATTAATAGAACTATGTCAGCCAAAGTAGGATTCCTGAAGAAACGGATGTTCTTTCTGGAAGCAGCCTGTGGACTAAGCATTAGTATATTAGGAAATCTCTGTTTTGCAGGTATGCCCTCTTTCACTCCTCTGGGTTACAATTTCACCACTGTAGCCATTTCCATTATAAAATGGATAGAGGTGTATCAGTGAAACTATTCCTGACACAGGATCTTTCTGTTGGCAGAGATTCCACACATGCTTAATTTAATGCTTTTGGTAATCTTATCTAACTCAGTTCAGGTACCCCCAGGCAGAAATCAAGAATATGCTTCAGAGCTGTGCCAGTCAAAGGTCAAGTTTATGCCACTGAATTCACAGTTAGATTTCTTTTGAATTTAATAAGATCAGGTTTTAGTATTCAGGAATTAGTAGATAAATTTCTAGTCACCTCAAGAGCATTTAACAAAACAGATCATCTCTATTCCTGTCCAAGTATTTTTTTTTTCCTAAAAGACATTTTTATTTTCCTCCAATTTCATGTTTCTTACTTTCCTTTCTCAAGGTCTGTCATTGCAGGTTTCCATGTTATTTAGGTGTGTAAAGTGAATTTGGAGAAGGGGTTTGTCTTTCTACATATCTAAAATGACAACTGGAGAAATAAAGTGAATATTTGTGAAGAAGCCAGATGAAACAACATTACAAATGAGAAGGAACTCCATTTATTCATACTTCCTATTTCACCAAAAATGTTTAGTATATAAAACTTAGGATAAGAACTGAAAGCTAGAAAGATAAAATAAGGGTATTCTATTGTACAGAAATGTTTAAATACTTCTTTACAAGAAGCCCAAATGTCTGAACTTTTCAGCTTTATCATCTTCTTGTAGTAGTTTTAATTTTTAGCATTTTCTGTTTTCCTTTCTCTCATTGTTTTCTACTGAAAGTTGTTTCCTAATTTTATACAGAATATTGGTAATTATTTGGGGATGACAGGCTTTTCTTCATTTTGGAGCATATTGGATAACTGAGAACAAAATCAATTCATAAAATATTAAGATTTTTTTTTAACCTTTTTCTGCTTAGTAGCCAGTATTTGTACCAAGCTAGTGACACTAGAACTTGTAATACAGTCCTATAGTTATGCTTTGAGGTGAAAGGCAGAAACAATTGTGCCTTTGTCCTGTTCAGGAGAGACAGTGAAAGTCTCTGACTGTGTTGAAAATGTGTGATTCTTCATGTATTCGTGAAAATCCTACATTTCAGGACACTTGATTAGATTTTTCCCTTTTATTTTGGGTCTTTGCACCTACTCCTCCTGCTTCTGCAGATAATCTGTACTTCCTATATTACTCTTTATTCTCAGCATCATAGTAAAATAAGTACTAATATAAGTGCAAATAGAGAGTCTTTCCAGGTGCTTTTTTTGCCTTTTGTTTTTTTAAATTCAAGATGGCTTTACTGTGTGATTCTCATTCTGCTTTTTCTGGACTATCTATCAAAATCTTTTCCACAAGTAAAGCATGCGAATTGTAGCTCTAAAGGTGATCTGTCAGATTACATAGATTGTGGCATCCTTCACAGTGTTTTACAGACTCAGAAATACAGAGAAAATACAATTAAAAGCTTAATTAAACCTTCATCAGAAATGGGAGTATATGTGTGCACGTGTGCATGACTTTTGCAAGGAAGGAAATGTTTTTTGGCACAACAGAATGCTTTGCTGAGGGACAAACACATCCAAAGCACAGGGAAATAAGCTGGAGCTTGTACTTTTTCCCTTAAATGGACAACCCGTCTGGTTGCTGTGTGCTGACAGAGGCAAAGGGGGGTGTGAATCCGAAAGATCGCTGCACTTTGTCCAAGTGAGTTTCATTTCAAAGCTGATAAAATGACAATTAGAATCTTAATTATTTAAGATGTGGCCAAAGTCATTCAGATATAAACTGGCGGGGTTTCAAAAGAAGAGCAGAAACCTCGATGAATTTGCAATAAACTTGTCCAGTTTAATTTAAACACTTTCAGAGCTCTGTAATACAATAATGGTTAGGCTCTTCGCTTTTCCTTTTTGGGGAAATGGTGACAAAGAGTGTAATGTTTTGTGATTTATGCTGTTCAAAGGTCAGTACCAGAGCATATGTAAAAGTGATATTTTGGAATCTAAATCCATTTTCTATCTGAAGTCCACAGTATTTAGAGGCTTGTATGTTTGCAGGAGGGAGGTATCTGAGTAGTG